ATTAATCAAACAAATGAAGCTCCAATGGTACAAAATTCATGTGCAAAACACACTCATCATGCACACTAACACCAATTCTGGCTCTTCTTTGTAAAGCAGTCCTCCTGAAATGAGTTCACGAATTCCAATCATGACTCTTTACGCAGTTTATCTCCTGTAAATCTACCCAAGAACTCCTGGTTCTTCAACTTCTTTCTTGATCTTTGAAGCAGTACCGTTGACGACACAATCTTTCTTACAGACCCAAGCGAAGAATTCAGTTTGGTGTTTGATTTGATGGATTTGATATTTTCAATATGATAAGTTCATATATGATTGAAGAATTGAACTTTTGATCTTGTGTAGAATGTAATCAAAATGAAAATAATGTGTTCAATCTCTCACAGAAAAATATACGGCACCTCTATTTATAGGTTAGACAGTTTAAGAGAATTGGGCCAAGTTAAAGTCTCGGAAATCGAAATTAGGTTTTGCTGATATAATCAGTCGCTTGAGCCAGAAGAACATGTCGCTCGAGTGAAGTGTCTGTAGCTTGAGCGACAGTTGGGCGAAGCTCGAGTAAGGATGTTTCTGCTTCATCCGCTCAAGCATGACTCCTGCGAACAGCTAACGAAAAATCGGCGTGAATCCTTCTTGTTTCAAACATGATATCACAAACCCTAAGCTAACCTACCAACTATGAAACTTTACAATTTATTCTCTAAACTTTTATAATCGTTCAAGTTGGTTCTTTTATTCACAGAATCCCCAATACAATATATAAATCTAACACAGTATTTATAGGAGAATTACTCTTATGAAGAAGATGACATTGCCCCAATCATGATTGATGAATTCTATTTACGTCGTTAACTTCAAATTTATTGTGAAAGATTGCTAAGAAGATGAATTTTCTAACCATCCAAAGAGGTTGCTCGTGCAATACATATACACTTCTTAGTCAAGTAACTCGTGATACCTACGTTCACCCTTATCGCAAATTATGTGAATACCACCGGATCTAATCTTGTTACATTGTTGATGAAAACAAAGGTCGACTATGACAGTAGTCAGCTTGTCCAGTGGAGGGATGCCCTTAACACTATCTGTAGATATTGTACATCACCGCAGTTTAACTGCTCTTTAACTAGGCATTGTGAGTCCCCTCAAAAGCTTGATGCAAAATAAATGATTTTTTGTTCTAAACCTTGACTATATATCAACATTTAATTTTGGTCACTAAATAAATTAAAGTACGAAGAATGACTAATTGACTTCATCTCTTTTCTACAATCTATTAATAACCAAACAAATTATGCCAGTCCATAAAAATAAAATTATCATCAAGCTATCATCCCAATCTAATACGTAGCAACTCGAGAGTAACACCAAACATTAAATTATTTTGTTCATGATATTTACTTTGAGAGAGTGTGTGATTATCAATTTTCTTTACTTCACAACTCATATCCACGTGCAAATGATTTACATGTTATGAACATTTGGCCCTTGTTTAGCTCTCGTTATAATGAGATTTTTGGAGATAATGTACTTTTGAATAATAATTTTTAGAAGAATGTGTGATTAAAAAAGTTATTTTTTTAAAATTTACGTGTAATATTATTTTATTAAATAACGTGTGATTAGAGAGAATAGTGAGAAAAATGTATTAAAGTTTTAATATGGGGTCTCGAAATCACAACAAATTATTTAAGAAACTCGATATTTGATAAAAATAAATAAATATCAGAAATATCTTGAGAATGTTTTCTCAAAGCAAAATTGTGTATATTCATGAAAAAAAATAGTCATCTTTAATGATATGTTTAGTATTCGTCAACGCCATTTTTTTCTCTGACAATGAAAAAGGGGCTCTTTTCAATAAACCCTCTTTCAAGGATGTTCCCTAACAAATAAAATACTCTACACCGTCAGGACAGGGTGTTACACAACAAAATCATAGAGAGAATCGGAAAAAGTTCGTTGAGAGAGAAAATGAAAGGAGGGAAAAAGAAACCCAGTACGGAGTACGTACAACCTCCTCTAACGCCACACTCTGACCACCCGGCCACAGTGAATGGCGATGATGATGTAGCAGGTGCGGCGGAGGACCTCCGAGAGGAAAATGAGCGTTTTGAAGCTACAGAGGAGACTTTGGAAGAAGAAAATGACGGAGACGAAGATGATGACTCCGAGACTGAAAAAGCCCATAACCACTTCGAAAACCTGCAAATCGAAGAGCCTGAGGAGGGAGCTGAGG